TGAATTCTGTGTGTGTGTTAAATTGTTTGTTTACAATGCTGAGAACATTTTATTTGTCAAAAAAAAAAGAGAAAAAAATGTCGGAAATGTGACTGGCTCCAGTAAATATTACAAATATTACGTCATGCAATGTTTAGTGGGCAGCTGCTGCTGCCACTGCTGTCTGGCTTTATCCGGAACGTTCTGGGTACACCGTAGGGGGTTGCATCATCCTGGCACGCCTCTCTCCGGATGAGTGCTGATGCTGGTGGCTAGACACTGGGCACAAGACGAAAGTTCGATGCCAGGATGTCGTCATGCCGTGGGGTGTGAACAGCCGCGCCATTTTCTTCCAGCCGCCGGCACATGGTGAAGTTCGCCGCCGTAGCCAGGACAGGACAGGATGGGCGGCGTCATTGCGATTGTTTGTGGGCGGAACCACTTCCTGGAGTGTATGTGTGTGTTATGGCCGCGCTTCCTTCAAATATATTTAAAGGGCGCAAAACCTGCGTACCGCTTACAAGAGAAACTTTGATTCGCAAAACTACCGTCACTACAACTACAACTACTACTACAACTACTACTACTACTACTACAACTGCTACTACTACAGTTGTTACTACAACTACTACTACTGCAACTATTACCACTAGTAGCAGCAACAGTAGTACTGCTAATATTACTACTAGTAACACTACCTCTACTACTACTACTACTACCGCGCAGCAACACTGCCACCAGCATAGCAGCAGCAGCAGCAGCAGCTAGCAGTAACAACAACAACAATAGGAATTGCTACTGGAGCAGAAGTGAAAAAGATGGCTCCAACAAGTAACCGGAACCGGGAGCTCCGAATCAAGGATGCGGAGCTGCCCAGTACTGCTGCACAGCACCAGCCCAATTCGGCATCATGCAGCACCGAGGCTCACCAGGCTGCTGCACTGATTTTCCAGCGAGAAGGCCATCCAAAACAGGCCTACATCGATGGCGAAATATGGCCGCCGATCTTCAAGCCCGAATTTGTTCGGTAATTAATTCCGTTCGTCCTTGCGTCCAACAAAACTCCATGGGCGAAAAAAAAAGAGAAGCAGCAGAATGCAGCGCCCTTCCTTTGCCACTTTTCACTTTTGCCGTACTGAGAAGAAATTCGCAAAAGTTGCTAGCGGATTGTTCTTGTTTTTTTTAGCAGCGGAAGGGGACAGATACAAATGATGAGCCCTATTCCAGAAATTAATCTTTTCCTTCGAATTTTTTTTTTTGCCTGGAACTGCTTCCTGAAAGCCCCGATCATACTTCAGGACATATTTTTAAAAACAGGTTGTTGCAATACTTTCAAATGAAAAAATCCCTGGCGCGCAAAGAACGATTATGTAAGAAGCCCATTTGCCTCATACTTGCAAAAAGACTGGAGTTTCACAGTTCCTTCTTCTTGCAGAAGCGCAAAAGCCCTGGTGCCTCGTGACAGCGATGTTTTCGTGTGCACTTACCCGAAATGTGGTACCACATGGATACAGCACATATGCTCACAGCTAATGACCGACAATTACGGACCACAAGTTGGACACGGTAAAGGTTATTTTACATAACCGTAAAAATGGGAGATGATTACCCATCATCGTGTAGAATATTTGTATTTCTTGCCTCAGAACTCCATCAATTTTTATTACTCGGCATTTCATCAATTTAAAATCAACACCATTGTAGAACTATGCGTAACGAGCCCGATGATTGAGCGCATGGGTGCAAAGTTTGCCGACAACTTGGCTTGTCCACGATTGCTCAAAACACACTTTGCTTGGAACAACATCCCAAAAAGTAGCAGCGCCAAATATATATTTGCTGTTCGAAATCCCAAGGACTGCCTCACAAGGTTCGCTTTTGCCGAACAATTTTTTATATGACAGTTTTCAAGAAAACTTCAACTGCTTATTTTGCTTAATGCTTTTGACAAATTATGATTTTGGATTTGGTTTTTTGAAATGGTAAAATTTTTAAAAATTGCTGTAAATTTTCAGTTATTTCTTCCACAACCGCAATTTCAAAATCTATGACTACGAAAATGGCGATTTTTCGGCCTTCTTCGAACTTTTCCTGTCCGAAAAGATTGCATTCGGGAACTACTTCGAACATCTGCTCAGCTGGCTTCCTCACATTCACGATGCAAATGTTCTCTTCCTGAGATATGAAGACATGTGCGCTGACTTGCGACAAGCCGTACGACAAATTGGTGAATTCTTGGGGGGCGAGGCTGCAAAGCGAATACAAAATGAAACCATACTGAGTCGCATTGTTGAAAACAGTACCATTGGATCGATGAAGAAAGATCAGTGGCGGTGGTTTCCAGAAAACAATCTGTAAGTTACTTTTGCTTTCCTAAATCTTAACCTCTTGTGACTTAAATCCGAAAATTCTATCTTTAGCAGCAAAGTTTTTATGAACATTGTCTAAATAAGAAGGGCAAATTTGCTATAATTAAAGAGGCCAATTTCAAATTCACGTCACTCCCTTCAAGAAACAGCGGTAAAAAATTAACAAATTGATGTTAAAAGAAGATTGAGCAGCCGAGCGGCCAGCCGGGGATGATGCAAAGTGCCTGCTGCCATGTGCTGCTTGATTAATTGCTCCTTCCAGAATGGGTTGAGAAAAAGTACAGACTCGGACAACATTCGTTTGACACCAATCTATCAAAATAAACACACAAGAAAAAAACGAATTTTTGTGATTTCTTGTCTAAATGATCGAAAAGAGAAACAAGTATTCACTCTGCGCCGCTTTAATCGGGTTTATTCCTTTTGGATGCGCATTCATCTTTTCGGTAAAAGGCGAAATATTTGTAAATTGTTACAGGCACCAAAACAGTTTCATTCGAAAGGGCGGAAGCGGAGACTGGAGGAATCATTTTACGCGTGAGCAGTCCGATCGTTTGGATGCTGAATTTCGAAAACATTTGGGCGGAACAGTCGCGGCAAACTGGTGGAAAGAGGAGCTGACCTGGGATGAAGTAGAAGATAGTGGAATTGAAGCTGACCTGCTATCCTCCTCGCCTTTCTCGACCGAGAAAGCAAGCAGCAGTGCAAGCAGTTCCAGACGCAGCTCTCTGGAAAACTGCCGAAGAGATTCCATCGAACTCGTTGATTTTAGCAATTTGAAGGCAAGCTTGCAGAATTGCATTCCACTGCGAGAACGCTTTTCGTCGCAGTCCTCATCGGGCTACAGCTCACTATCGTCATCACTGTACTAAGCTGTCCTCTATATCCATTTATTGATTTCAGTTTGGAATCATATTTAATCCATTTCAGTTGTACTCTCATCTCTCCTACTCTGTTTCTGGTTTGAATTTTTGAGGCAGCTGTTTTGCGCGAGACACAAGCGTGAAGTCAAATTTTATTTCCTTTCTGTCGTATCTTTTGTATTCAATCAATTCTCGCCTCTTACAGCAGCTCAGTCATGCTCTTCTTTCAGCGCTGCCTTACTAAGCACTACAGTTTAATGTTTCACTGTGTATCCGATGCCTAGAATTAATATTTGAACCATTTTCAATAAATCATTGTTGCTCCAGAATCTCACTGATAGCTTAATCGATGCTCCCTTCACCGAGCTTCGTCTTTTATGTCCAGGGCTATTTGGGAAACGCTAACCCGCATCCACCAATCACATATTATCTTTGCATATGCATATACCGTCTGCGCACCTATGGTAGTTTGATGAGCCCGGGTTCGTTTTTTTGCCCTTTTTCATCGGAAAAGCAAGATTAGTCGTATTCCCACCGTTACTTGGCAATTTTTCAGTTTATCTACCATCGATCTTTCCGGTTTTCTTCAGAACATCATCACCGCAGGAGAAGCTGCACTATGAGCTAATTACATGAAAATTTCTTCAGGAGCACTGAACCGCGAGTGTACAGGTGCCTGAATCAAAACTAGAATGCGGCCAAATAGCTCTTATTACACCAGTAATGTGTAAAAATATTATTATTCCTGGAAAACACAAATATCTCATTTGTACAATTTTAGCTTGTTAAGGAGTGCGCCTCTAGCTCAAATTGTAATGTTGCTCCATTGAAAAATATACGTATGATGTGTACATTGTCATCCTCCACTCTGTGTATGTTCATAGATGGTAAAATGTTCATTTTGTATGTTGTGAATAATGTTGATAATTTATTTAATAAAAATCAAACAGTCAGTGAACAATGGCATGATACTTCAGTTAATTTGTTGTTTCATCGCAGCTCATCTTCACTTCATCTCCGCACTTGGAAACATCTTTGTCTTTGCTCAGTGTGATAGAAATTGCATCAGTTGGTTGGCAGCCTGCTGGTAATTTGCGCAAATTGAAGAAAATTACTTAATACATAATTAGAATAGAATGGAGTTATAAGTAGGGCTACATAAACATCATCAATAATACTGATATTGCGGCTCTTAATAGGCCTTAATGAAAGTAATAAATTAGGAGAATACTGGTGAAGATGTAAAATAGAAACAGTCGAGTGCAATATAAATAAAACGAATAATTAAATTAATGCAGTGATAATTATAAATAGTACTAAGAATACACTAATTAGGGTGACAGGATATAGCGATAGCCTGGGAAAATTAAGGTAAATGCTTGATATGGAATGTTTCGGTCCACCAAAATACGCTACTGTGCTGCATGTGTGGCCGTTTCGTCTGTTTTTCAGTGGTTTTCGTACGTTCCTCCATGACAGATATCACTAGCAGATGGATAGGTACTAGGAGTGGGGAATTCTAATGACAGCTAATTCTAGATGTAGCTGTTCACAAAAACACATCAGGAAGTGATACAAGTAGCTCCTAGTTGCTCAGTGCTTGCTCGAAGCTCCAGTTGAACCGATAGATAGTAAAATTCGTGAGTTTCATGCCAAACAGAGCAATCTCTAGGCACCGCGCATGAAACCGCAAAACAAACTGAGGGTGTTAATGAAATGAAAAAGATGCGTTGGGGGAGGCTAGTAGAAGCGGCGGCATATAACTTCAGTCAACACCGCAAAATGTCAGGCGGTAAATTATTTCACACCGTCGAGGGAAAATAGAAGCATTTGTCCGCAACTGGTTTTCAGCTCTTTTTACTTTCAAAACTTTTCGGCTCTCCAATACTTTCCCCATTCTTCCCGGACGAGGCTTCAGTCTAATTCCTCATGAACTAAGCAAAAAGCACTCAATGAAGACGTCTGCAGGCAAAGATGCAGGAAGAAAATGAAAATAAAACTCTCAATTCTTCGCTTAATATTATTCAGTTTTGCGACAGTTTGACTCAGTCATAAGGTTTGATGCGATCATACGCGGGTGCTTCTGTTCCTCTGAATGATGAGTTGATTAACAAAGTAAAAACTTTTGCTCCAGGTGAACCGTGAATTCCGCTTTTTTATGGGAAAAGACAAGGTGAATTTTGATTTGAGCAAAAGTGAATTTTGGATTTTGGTCTGACCAAAGTTTGAAGCTAGAAGATGTAAATAAATTTTTTACTGTCACAGCGAAATGTTTTTGGAAGTAGTCAAATTCAGAAATTTTCGGATATTTTACTATGCTTCGTTAAGAATCTATTTAAAAAAAAAGACAAAAATCGGGCATTGCAAAAAAGATGCTTCCTTCGCCTACTACAAGATTCCACTGCTGTGTAGCAGCGAAGCAAAACGGGAAGTGTTTGATTATCTGTAGTCGAATCATAACGCTTTACGTAACTACACGAAACTGATATATACATTAATGCAGTCATTTCGCAGTACTTTTTGGTACTGTAGCAATGGGTAAATCTATAAATCATTCTGACTTGTCACTCATCCACCTCAATGATTCGCCAGCATCCACTCGCTACTTTTTGTATACTCACAGGTTACGATCGTTGGCTCTGTTCACACGATCTGCATGACCACCGGAGCTATTTATTGTTGATGTTGCCTAATGCCAGCCTGTTGTGTAAAGCTCCGGGATTTCTGTAATGCAGGAGTTTGCGGATGGAGATCACAGACTGGCGCGCATCGCTGGGATGTCTTATTACCGAACAGCGTTGGCGTGGAATTTTGACGCAAATTACGATGACCACGTGCCAAAGTTCAGTCCGATCATGCAGTTCTGGTGGGTCCGAGCCCTGCAGTGGCATAGCTCCAGCAAAAAAGGTGTCGAACTGGAAAAAAAAGTTGCCTCGACGAACTGAAAAACGCAGGAGTTTGATTGGCGAGTTAACAAACGTACAGGGTGCAGGAATGAACGGAGAACACGTGGGCTTTTGCAGAGTGCAAGGTTGAGGCGCCCGAAACGGCAAAAGTGATTAATACAGATGTTCATCACCCGCTGAATTATCCTGTAATTGGCCACGGTGACAGAAACTGCCGCTGATTGATGGGAGTCACAGCCTTCGCCTCTCTCTCGCACCTCCGAGCCCACATTCGTTCCACTTTTCGCAAGTGGCAGAGATTTTTTAATTGCTACTATTTTTAACCCTAAAATGTATCATTTTGTAGATAGGCGCAGCGTGCCGAAATTTGTCTGAGCGAGGCAGCGGAAGCTTTTCCCAGCTCTCGCAGACGGGCAGCGCGTTGTAAATTCATGAACGGATAATAATTAATGGCCTGAGCTATGCAAAACAAAAAAATTTATCATCGCTGCGCGATTGTTTTTTGACATTAATCACTGCATTAAATAAAAAATTTTTTCCCCCGGTGAAACTAGAATTTTTCCGCCGCAGCATGCCCCTGCCGGTGCCAAACGGTAAAGTGAACGAGCTTCAGAAATGCAACTGCAAATTTCGCACCATGCAGTCTTGATAACTTTGATAGAATGTTCAAATATTATTGTTACCATTATTATCACTGTTACTATTAGTGCCACTATCATTATCATCATCAGTATCGTTATTGCCATTATTATTGTTATCATTAGAGTTAAGGAAAATGAGAAAACGAAAAATTTGTACTGTCCACTAACTGAGGTTTGTTCCACTCATATATATTTACTGTTGCAGTCTGAGAGTTAGCTGACTACAGAAAGAGCTCACAGTCGCACTGCACCAGTGGGGCCATGTCTCATTTTCGGAAAAATTACTCCACTCTAAAAAGAGCTCATTCCTCGGTTCGGGCTGTGCTTCAAAGTAACGCCTCACCCTGCTAATAATCAGCTGCGGTGAGATTGATCGAACTCATACTTCACAGTTACAGAAAAAAAAAAACCGGGCGTCTTGTGCAGATTCGTACTGCTCCAAGAACTTTAACTAAATTAATTTGCCTGGCCAGAGGCTTCGATGAGAACAACAGCAACAAGCACCTATCCTGAGGCAGCCAAACACCCAACTCTTTTACTTCCAAAACCTCATCTGAATTTTCATTAACAATTATACATATAGCCACGACTGGTCAAGATACCTGTGCTTTAACAATAATAACAATAATAATAGTAAAGCATAAATTGCTGTTCTTGTAAACTTATGTATACGTATACATGCGGGATTTAGCAACTCCAAAAGAATGTACTAAGATCAATGACCATTAAAGTGACCAACATTAGAGTCTGAGAGATTTATTGAGAAATTTTATGTCTGTCAGCTCAACCGAAATAAACTGTTTTGTTGACTCAGCATGTTAGTTGTAACAGTTTTGTTGGTTTTCAAAAAAACTCAGATGGCACCTTCGGTAATGGCTCGTAATGGCGAGCCCAAGTTACTTCAGCTGCAAAATGATGCGAAAAAAGAGATAAAAATCAATTTCAGCTTATCAGGTTGCCAATACTACTCCTCGGGTTTGGTGAGTGCCCGTCCGCGTATCTTTAAGTTAATCATCTTTAAACCCTGGATCGATTCAAATTAAATTTAGAGGTCAGGCCAGACTTAAAAATGCGTGATTTTGCAATTTTGGCTGTTTCTGATCTACTTATGTCGCGCTGCACCACTACACTTCTTATTGCTCGCTCACTTACGAAGTCCTGCTTACCAAATTAAACACCTGCAAAGTCGCTGTGTGAATTAGGTTCAGCAACATTAACCTCCACTAAACTATGAATGAATTCCACATATAGCACTGAATTACTGCTCTTACCGCCTCTGATACACTCACTGCAGTGCCAAAAAAGCGATAAAACAAACGCTGCATGATTTCGAATCGAACTTGATGAACTGGCTTCTTGGGCATACGCAATACACCGATTTTGATGCTATAGTAAGATACCCTCTCTGGTGTTCTTAAGATAGTAGATCCAAATATCTGACAAGGCACTTATATCCATCGAG